GTTTATAATTCAGTTAGCAAATTTGGTATCAGACTCTTTAGCTGGACTGCACTCTGAGATCAGCAGTGGCAGAAATGTCCTAGACTACACAGCTCTTCCTTCTCTCACACTGTAAGAATCTTCAAGACTTTATAATCAATTACCATTAAGATAGGGAAGTTGGCAGAGGGCTGTCAAGCTTTTTTGAGCTACTTAGTCATGGCTATAAATACAAAGGTTAAAAAAAAAAATCTTTAGTGCTATGTGATAGAAGGCTTTCTACAACGACTGGAACTTGCTGATTGTAAAACGGTAATCGTTTTTTGATGATTGTAGATGTGTGACACTTGATTACCTAAGGAATGAATGAACTTGCCTGGTTTTATATGAAACAAGATCTTACTATACACCCTAGACTGACTTGGAATTTACCATGTAGCTCCGGCTGACCTTGAACTATGCGTTCTCTTGCCTCAAACTCCTGAATGGTGGGATCAGACGCATAAACCATAATTCCTAGCAAGAATGAAAGAATGATTAGAGAAATAATTTTCTCTTGGAACAGTGGAACCTATCACTGACTATATAGTACAGGCTGTGCAGAGCTGTAAGAATGCTCAAGTCCCACCACAGAATAACCCACAGAATCGCCAGGGCTGAGCTCTTGGACTTTCATTTTATTTTATTCAAGGCTGTTTAGTGGATAGCTTTTGTTTACAGATCTGATGACCTGTGCCCGACCCCCTTTTCCCACAGGTGGTAAAAGGACACATCCCAAAGTTGTCTCCTAACCACTCAGTTTTAAAAATAAATAATTCACTTTTATGGCAGCTAACTGTCCAAAACTCTAGTCCTATGAGATCTAATGCCCTTTCCTGGCATCCATGGGACGTGGTACAGACTTATATACATGTCAATTTAAAAACCTTTATGAAGTGTGTGTCTGAGAGAGATCCGAGTACAAACCGACATGCTGCAGCACGCATGTAGATTTTACCTTCCGAGCCACCTCACAGCACGCACACGTGCGTACACACACTCTCTCCCTCCCTACAGGCTTTTTTTTTTCTTTTGAAAAAACGTCCCAGGAGATTCTAACAGGCACCTTTAATCCCAGAATTTGGGAGGCAGATGGATCTGTGAGTCCGAGGCCAGTCTGGTCTTGAAAAACCAAAACCCAACCCAACCCAAACCAAAAACCTAAGGGAACCCCAAAACACTGCATTTGATATTTTACAGACTACAAAACCTGACTTACTTTCTAGATGACAATACGTCTGCAATAGCATAAACTAACTAAACTGAACAATTTTATTATACTTCTTTATAAAGAAATGATTTCAAGGGGCTGAAGAGATGGTTCACCAGTTAAAAGGCTCGCTGCTCCCGCTGAGAACTTGGGTTCAGTTCCCAGCACCCACGTTAGGCAACTCACAACTTGCAACTCCTGGGAATCTGACACCCTTTTCTAACAAGGCTGCCTGCAGGCGTGCAGTATCCATGCACACAGGCAGATGCACATACACAAACTAAAACTATTTCGCATGTATCCAACAACCATTGTCAATGTTACTTTAAACTTCTGCAGCTTAAGTTAGACAGGCTGATGTGCACCTGTCATTCTAGCTCATGAAGTCTGAGGCCAGAGCTTAGGAAAAACCTGTCTCAAAAAGAATACAGGCAGGGAACCTGGGAAAACAGCTCAGTCAGTAAAGTGTCTGCCACTCAAACCTCAAGACCCTCCAGTACCCTTATTTAAAAATAAAATTCCTTGAACTTACAGAGAGATCTGCCTGTTTCTGTCCCCCCAGTGCTGGGGCTGAAAAGGCATGCCCTACCATGCCTGGCAATATACTGTATGTGTCTATTTGCATGAATTCAGTTGCACCGTATGTGTGCAGGAGCCTGTGGCAACCAGAAGAATCAGCTCCTCTGGAACTGAAGTTAGGGAACGTTGTTAAGCACCACGAGGGTGCTGGGAACCAAACCTGGCTCGCCTGCAAGTGCAGTAAGAGCTCTTAACTGATGAGCCACCAGACAGCCTACGAGGAGAACACTTGACTGGGAACCCAACAGACTGCATAAAGCAGAGATCAGAGGATCTAATTCCACAGCTACGGGTATGGGTAACTATCAACCGAGACACTGTTTTCTTTTTAGCCTTCTCTTAAAGGACTCCGGTTGACAGGCTCTGTGGAATAAGTAAGCAAAAAGAGGGCACAGGAAGTGGTGTGACACTTCACAATTCATCAAGATAAGAGCACCTGTACTGCCTTTCTAGGGGAAATCTACAGTGAGACAGCCCTCCAGCTCTTCTGCTACTACAAAAATGGACAACTCAGTCAAACCACCTACATCTTTCAAGAGATAAATCACTCCCGGTCAGTGGTAGGGAGGGCATTATGTAACACTTCCCAGCAGCACAGCCATGGTCAGGATATTTCGCTGCCAAGCCACTTGGGCCCCTCCTCCCCAGCTAGACAGCCTGGCTCCTTTGCATTCCCCTCAGGAGATAGGGTGGAAGTACATGGCTCCACTCTGTAAGGCATAGAGGGCAGCTGAAAGTCCTGTTTGGGCCTCTCTGGGCAACCACAGGCGCCAATAAACCAGCCACAGCCAATTCTCTCATCCCCTTCCCAGCTTGAAGTGGGAGCAAGACATAATGCAAACGAGCACTGACTAGACTCGGAGGAAGATAAGTGACCTAGGCCTACGTTCCTCTGTGGACTACTCTCTTCACTACAGTCAGGCGTATCTCTCTGCTGCATTTCTGCAGGCTTAAAACATACTTGCAACAAGGCGGCAATAACCTTCTAGGGAAATCTCTTATCAAAGCAGCTGGTAAAGGTGAGCACATAAAACTGAAAAACAACCAAACCTAAGTGGAAATTCTTTAAAGCTTAAAAAAAAAAAAAAAGGCACTTATTACAGTACTGAGAACAAACGTCTAGAGAGTGTGTGTGAGTGTCACGGATGAGGGGGACTCCCTTCTTACCGACCACTCCCTGACATTTCACGGCTTCCTAATTGCATCCCACCCATCAGAACTCTCATGTCTATCTTACTGTCTGGCAGTGGCTGTTTACCCTTAACTAAAACCTTTCTAGGTTGCTAAAAGAATGATGCCTAAACCTAAAGAGGGAACAGGTGGCCAGACAAGGGACCTATAGTCCCTGCACCCAGGAACCTGACGTCAGATCCATCTCTAGATCTACACTAGCCTGGACTAAATATGAAGACTCTATGTCTCAAATACAGAAAAAGAAATGTGTCAATGCCTATCCCTGCAAGCATTAAAGCTGGACCGGGTGTTGGGGCTGTGGAGAGAGAAGTGAGCTCACTCACCCAGAAACACTGCCGTCCCTCTGTCTCCCTAGAGCCATCACAATGACCAGGCCTGACTTCTCAATCAACCTGAGAAGCCCTGTCAAGTGTTATCACTTCTGGTGGACACATTGCCCAAAGAAGGAAGAATGGCACAGCAGGCCTGGCACAATGCTGAGTTCAAAGGCAAAAGTGCTTGCTGCCCTAAAGCCTAACTATGAAAAGTGCAGAATCTTGATCAAGCAGCACTACCGTCCTTAGGTCAGGTGTCATCTGCGAAACGAGAGGGACGCACGGGCTATGCATAAGGTCCTTTTCAGTTCTGAAAACCCAGATTCTAAGATATACTTTAATCCTGTCAATCAACAGCTCTGCAGCTTTGAAAGGACTTGCTCCAGTAATCCCTTAGATGGATACGGGAGTTAATTTATAAGACACAACACTCGCTGCTATCGGGTTCCAGGTACAGCGCTGTGCGTTGCCTAAGCAACTGATAACGACTTGATTTCTCCAAATGAAGTGTTAGGGAGACGGTGATAACACGGGGGCCAGAAATCAAAAACAAAAACCATTTGGCTAAGATTAAAAAAAAAATACGTGGGGGGGGGGTTAAAATGAATTATTAGGGGTTGGGGGCCACTTGCTCTAGAAACTAGGGACTCACACACTGGGTGGGGGAGGGGACAATGACTTTGAAGCCTGATCTGGACACCTGCCCACTAGCTAGAGTCCTAGGCCTGGCGCGGCCGCCCGGAACCTAGCTGCCACAGACAGACTGGGGGTCCTGGAACGGCCAGCATCGGGATGGGCATCAAGGCTGCGCGGCGCCCGCGCGCGCCATCCCGCCCCGCGCGTTGCTAATTTCCTCCTGGGCCCTGCCTGCCCGACATCTCCAACGGACCAGAAAAAAAAAAAAAAAAAACACAAACCAAAAAAAAACACCAAAAAAAAAAAAATTACAAAACACCCCTCTCCCCAGCTACTTGCATCTGTCCCGCGACGGGTGCAGCTGCAGCCGCCGCCCGGGGCGGCTCGCGGCGGGAGGGACTGAGCCCGGAGCAGCCCAGAGGGGCAGGGCCGCGTAGCTTACCCAGACTCCGCCGCGGCGGCGGGCGGCGGGCTCAGTCCGTGCGGGAGGGGCGGGCTCCCGCGCTGCGCACAGCACGCGGCGGCGCCCGCTCACGCACCCGGCGGCCTTGCTCTCGCGCGGCTTCCCGCGCCCGGCCCACGTGACCCGGCGGCCCCCCGGGCTGGCAGTGCGTGCCCGCCCGCCCGCGTGCGTGCGTGCGTGCGTGCGTACGTGCGCGCCTGGCCCGAGCGGCCGGGCGGGGGGTCGGCCCGCGCTCCGGGCTCCTGTGCCACCGTGCCCAGTCGCGACTGGGGAGGCGGAAGTGTGTGCTTGTGGGGGAGACAGGCTCGCGCGTCACAGGCTCCCCACACGCCTCCGCGTGATCCGGGACTTTCCCCCGGCGTTTGCCAAAAAAGAAAAAAAAAAAATTAAAAAAAAGAAAAAAAAAAAAAACAGCATGGGTGCCCCCCTCGGCCCTGGGTGGGGACGGGCCAGGATGCACCCGCGTGGAGGCCGGGAGGGGCATGGCGGGGAAAGTGACTCAGGCCAGCGGGGGCCGACGGCTCCGGGAGGGCGCGGGGACCGGGCGACCCCCGAGCGAGAGGACGCGCTTTAGGAGCGGGACGGGATGAGGGTGTCAGCGCCCCGAGGGCGTCCGGGGTGGAGCGCGGGGGGCGGGCCCAACCGCGGGGCCCTGCGGGGCAGGGGGTCTGACATCTGGGCCGAGGGCGCGCCGCAGCCAGCCCGCCCCGGGGTCGGGGGGAGAGTCGGGAGAACCCCCGCGGCGTCCAGCGGTGCACACGGGAGGAGGAGGGCCGAGGCGGGCGACCCCGGGGGAGCGGGCCGAGAGTCGCCGGCCTCCCGCCGCCGCCGCCCGGGCGCCCGCGCCGCGGGGCAGTGCCAGCCTCCCCGGGCCGACGCAGAAACTTGTTGCAACCCACAGGCGACCGCGGGTGCCCCCGGCCGCCGGCGGCGGGGTGGGTGGGCGGGCGGGAGGGAGGGAGGGGAAGGCTGGCGGACGCCGCGGCGAGCTGGTGGGCAGACCCGGAGTCGCCGCGTAAGCGGGGCCGGCTCAGTGCGGTGCGGCAGGCGCGGCCGTGCGGCGGCGGAAGTCCTTTGTTGCAGCGCCGTCCCTGGCGGAGCCCGAGTGTCTCGGCGCAGCCCTGCCGAGCGCCGCGCGCCGTCAACTGCAGCCCCGCGCCTCCTCGGCTCCGCCCGCCTTCTTCCCCGCCTGCCCCAAACTCCTCTCGGACCTCCGCGGCCGCGCGTCCCGCCGCGCCCGGTGAGTTCGTCTGCCAGTCGTCGGGGCGATTTGCGCAAACTTTGGCCGGGGACGGGGAGGGGGGGTGCCCGGGGCCGCGCGGGGCCTCGGCGGCGGCGGCGGCGACCGGTGCGGGGGAAGCCGGAGCGCGGAGGGCGCGCGGCGGCGGCGGCGGGGAAGGGAGGGAGGGAGCCGGTGGCCGAGGCGAGGAGGGAGCGGGAGGAGGGGGCTTGCCGAGCCCGGCTCGCCCGGTGCCGGCGATCGGTCCGGTGCGCGTAGCCTCCCCGGGTCCGGGACGGATTCCCCCTCTCCAGGCGACTTCCCAGATTACTTCTTTTCCCTTTTTTTTATAATTTTATTTGGTGGTGGGGTGGCGGGGTGGGGGGGAGGGGAGCTGGAGGCGGGAGGCCGCGCTTGATTGACGGCCCCGGAGCGCGCTTCGCTAACTTCCAGCTGCGGCTGGGCGGCCGGTGGGAGGGGAGCGTCCCGGAGCCCGGAGGGCCGCAGACTTGGGCGCGCTCCGAGAGAGGAGGCGGCTGGGCCGCGCGGATTCCAGCCTCGCTCTCTCCCACCCCCCTCCCGTCGGCCACCCATGCCCTTCTTTTTTGTTGTTGTTGTTGTCGATCGGGTCCAAAGCGGTGGGTCTCGGAGGTTTTTCTGGGTACGATCACCCCCACCCCACCACCCCCGGCGCACGCACACACACACACACACACGCCCCGAGTTCCGAGAAGAAAGTGCTGTTCGCCTCCAGCGGTGGGCGCTTCCAAGTAGAAGAAGTTGTGGGAGAGGCGGGGAGCGAGTTGGGTGGCGATCGCGAGTCCCGGCGGCTGCGGCGTGCGGGCGTGGGTGCCGAGCTCGGCCGCCGCTCCCAGGCTCCCTCTCCACCTGAGCCGCCCGTCCACGTGATCCGAGGGCCTGACAAGACATTTCCCAGCCCGGACGCGTCGCCAGCCGCCTGACGAGGGTCCTGGACTTCAGGAGATAATTGTATTTGTGTGTGTGTGATCACGTCCCTAACCCGAGTCGCCGGGAAGGTGCGCGGAGATTCTCCACCGTACGGTGTGTGCCGATGCCACAGCATTTTCCCCTCTGACACTGGAGTCTACAAAGCGTTCCAAGTGGTTTTTTCCCCCCCCCCTTTTTTTTTTGAGACAAGGTCTGGCTAGGTAACCCAGGATCTCGTAGGCATAGTTCTCCCCCTCCTCGGGAAACCCTAAATTCAGTGGTGATAGTCGTGAGCCAACCACGCCTGGTTTTCTGTTCTGAAGCTCTCCGAGACTGCTTAGAATTTCCTGAGCCGAAGTTTGAGGCACCCTGAAGCAGATCTGGAGGAATGATATGGTTCTTCTGACAACTTTAAAGCAGCCATGGCTCCTTTTTTTTTTTTTTTTTAAGGTATAAAATTCTCTGAAATTTTGCCACTTCAAAAGGATGTGTTCTGGAGAAATGGGGAGAATGGCGGTGCTGGAGGTTGAAACCCGGGTGATGGATGGCTGCATGGTTGCCCAGAACCGTAAAACTTCCCTTTTGAATCGCTTGCTGTTATCTCCTAAAGCCTCAGTAATACCGAGTGACATTAGGAGCTGCTTCAAGAGAGGCTTCTTCCATTTAAAGAAATAGATAGAACTAGAGTAGACAAGAGCTGAAATGCCTTTCCAACACTTAGTAAGTAGAGATTCTGCAGTACAGAATGACAGGATTCCTCCATTGACCCCCAAGTTTTACAGTGTATGTATGGTTGTGCATGCCTGTAATCCCAGCACTTCCAGAGGTTGGTTCAGGAGTTTGAGGCCAACCTGGACCTTTCCTACGTAGCAAGACCCCCTCCCCCCCTTTTTTTTTCAAAACACAAAACTTGGGGGCTGGAGAGATGCTTAGTGATTAAAGGCACTTGCTTTTCTTCCTGAGGAACTAAGTTAACTACCCGAGCCCTCCCCCACCCTCATCAGGCCGCATACAACTAACCACCTATAACTTCAGTTCCAGGCACCTGCTTGCGCTCCTGGACTCTAGTTAGGGCAACTGCACACATGATTAAAAATAAAACTAAAAAGCCTCATGATACTGAGTAAAACCCAGTGTGGGTTCATCATTGTCAAAAAAGAGAACCCGTTTTTTAGTCAGGGCATGAGCACAGATTCTTGACCTTGGGAGGGTGTGGGTGTATGTGGGTGTGGGTGGGTGGGGGTGTGTGTTTCACAACAGTTTCTCTGTGTATCTCTGGGTATCCTGGAACTCATTCCATAGACCAGGCTGGCCTTAAATTCAGAGATCCACTTGCCTCTGCCACGGATTAAAGAAAGGCATGTGCCTCCACGCTTGATGTTTTTTGTTTTGTTTTGCTAGCCACTCACTGTTTGGTCCAGGGCTGCCATTAGCCTTCTGTCCTGCTTCAGCTTCTCAGCTAGTGTTGGGATAACAGGTCTGTGCCACCACGACAGGCTTTTGACCTTATAGGGTTTTTTTGTTTGTTGGTTGGTTTTGTGTTTGTGAAACAGGGTCTCACTATGTAGCCTTGACTGACCAGCCTACAACTGTAGACCAGCTGTCCTCGAACTCCTAGAAAGGTGCCTCCCTAGGCCCATAGTGCTAGGATTAAAGGCTTGTGCTGCCAGACCTGCTCATGACTTTGTGTTTTTATTTCATGGTAGCTGCTAAATGTTTCTGCTTTCTCACTCTCTACTTTTGTCAGTTTCTAGTACAATTAGGGGCTTTTTTCAAAGTGTCTGGCAACACAATTCAGGAAAAAAAAGTGTTACTGTCTTTTTTTCTTTTTCTTTTTTTTTTTTTTTTTAAAGGCCATTCTCTGGCCAGGGCACAGGCTACACATTTGGCTAAAAGAGGAAAAAAACATTCATGTTAGAAATGCAGAACAGTAATTATTATTTTTGGGCTGCAGTCTGTTGTCTTGGGGGCATTAAATATGTAAAACATCTGCTTAGAGTTCTCTTTGGCCTCTAGTATTTTTTGGTAGTTTCCTGTGGTAGTGTCTCTGGCAATAAAATAGTGAAAATGCTTTGCTATTCATTCATATGTTTTTATGTGAGCCTAGTTATTTATGTCTATTTTCCCACAAAGTGGAAATGCCTTTTCAGTGATAAAAGTGCACGTTCTTTATAAAAGTTCAATCTATACTAAAAGTATGTAGAATACAAAACTGAAAGTCATTCTGACTCCCACTCCCCAGAGATAATCACTGTGAACAATCAGTTTCTTGTTTAAAAACATGAAGGTGACATCTGCACAGCCTCGTGCTTTTCTCTTCTTATAAGGCAGACTCGTGAGACTTGCCAGGTAGAGGAAAAGAGAGCGTTTTTGCATTTAGCTGCCACATTCAGTCATTTAGTAACGGGAAAAATTCCATGTTTGGTAGGGCTGCTGTTTTAGGTGAGTCCTCATGATGTTTACCTCAGTGGGCTTCTCATCCTTTGCAAATGTTGCAATCCATTACATGATTGATTTATGCAAACTAAACTTGTTAAATCAAACTAGGAGAGTTTCCCAGTTTACCTTTGAGAGTGAGTGGATACACTTGCCACAAAGACCACGCCAAGATATCCCTGTGCCTTTTTTCTGAAGGTGTGGTTTCCCCAAGATCAGCATCCAGAGCTACGAGAGCTACAAGGTTTGGAAGGAAATTAGAGGGACAGTGGGCATTAATGACACTGTTGTTTTAAGTTGTGGCGTGAAAGGACTAGCAGTGGGGAGTGGGGGAGGACAGTGGCCTGAATTTCACCCACATTGGGCATCTTCTATATTCAAGGTAGGTTTCTAAGGATCCTGATACTTTGTCCTGTAGTCATTAGAAAGTGATTTAGCCTGGTGTGTTCAAGAAGGATGAGCTGTGAAGTTGGTTTTCTAATAAAGTTCCAGAGCAGCAAAGAATCACAGTGGCCACTTGAGGGTGTTGACATGCCTTTTTAAAAGCACTGCTATGTGAATATAAGTTGTTCTCCAGATCGTATTTGAAGGCAGGAGACAGAACTTAGTAGTGGCGTGCTTGCCTGTGATGCCTGGGGCCTTCAGTTCAATCCCCAGTGCTTCAAAATATAATAATGAGTAATAGAAATTAAAGAATAGCAGGATGTGGGGAGCTTGACTTTAATCCCAGCACTCAGAAGGCAGGGGCAAGTAGATTTCTGTGGGCTCAAGGCCAGCTTGGAATACATAGTTGCAGGCCAGCTGCATAGTGAGACCCTGTCACCAAACAAAACAAAACAACCCCCAAAATATGAAATAATAAATTACTATTTCTTGATAATATGTGGGGTGCACGTTGTCCTTTTTAAGACCTGAAGAGCTCCTTCCCACTTGGAATGGCCAACAGTTGGGGCAGGCATGGGGGGGGTCAGCAGATGGAAAGGGAGATACAGAAGGGGTGAATTCTG